AATATAAAAACTGGGAGTTAAGGTCTCCCCCAAAAAGGTCCTTTTCAGATGTGCTATTCCAGAGTCTGTTCCAGTGGTTCATATCCCTGGTGGCTGCAGATTGCCTTTCCTGGGTGCCCATGTCCCCTTGATTTCCAGCTGGGTTCAGCCAGTGGGAGACTCTGATGGGAAAATACGGGCTGCGGGGGAGAGTGAGGCCGGTTTGTGCAGAGAAGGCGTGAGGAGGGCTGGGTGTAGAGCAAAGGTAACATCTCTTCCTTGTGCTCAGCTCCCTCCAGTTAGGCCCACCGTGGTTCCTTCTTCCCCTGGGGACCTACCCCCATTTGTTCCTGCTGTTGCCAACCCCTGGATTGCCTCACCAGCCTCCAGTTCTTTGTGACCTGTGTAACCAACCTATTCCCTGCATTAAAGTCCCTCTGCTAGATAGGCTTTAAGTTGTTTCTGTTTGCCTAATTAGACCCTGACTGGTATACAAGCCATTTTCATTTTCCATTTGGTATGGTTATAAAATAAGCTGAGCATGCTGTTGGCATACTGTATCGATTTCGGCAAGACTTTTGACACATGATCTTATGATGTCCTTGTGAACAAAATGGGGATAATTTAGACTGGATTATAAAACATTCTTTGATTACTGAAGTTCATTAATGTTCAAATAAACCTGATGAAAGGGCTCTCGAAGTCAGCCAGAAGGCTCTGTCCTTGGCCATTTCCTATTCAACATGACCAGAGATTTGGATGAAGACATAAAAGCAGCTTTATCAAATGTGTCCATAACATAGATGGAAAGTAATGTAATTCAGAGTTCGAAAGGATAAACTTTATAAGGAAAAATGGAAAATCTCACATCTATGTACAAAAAATATAGAAGAGGAGAGACCAAGCTTCCCAGCATATTATGTGGGTAAAGATATCCAGGCTTTTCATTGACCGCAACCCCAGTACAAGCCAGAAGTATGACCTTTTTTTTTTTTTTTTAAAGATTTATTTTATTTTAAAGATCTTATTTACTTATTTGTCAGTGAGAGCGTGCACTCAGACGGGGAGCGGCAGGCAGAGGGAGAAGCAGACTCCCCCCTGAGCAGAGAGCCCGATGCGGGACTCGATCCCAGGACCCCGGAATCATGACCTGAGCTGAAGGCAGCCACTTAACCAACTGAGCCACCCGGGCGTCCCAAGATTTATTTATTTTAGTGAGAGAGACAGAGAGGGCGTGCATGTGCATTCAGAGGGAAGGAGAGAAGCAAACTCCCCGCCGAGCACGGAGCCCAACTCAGGGCTCCATCTCAGAACCCTGAGCTCACGACCTGAGCCAAAACCAAGAGTCAAACACTTAACCTACTGTACCACCCAGGAGCCCTGACCTATTTTTTTTTTAAATGGGAGGGAAGAGATTGATCTTTGGGCCCCATTAGAAGATAAATGTGTCTCTATAAGCTGGCAGATTGTCACTTCTCATCTAGAGGCTTTCAGAAGACTAGGAACTTACTCTAAGAAAGATCCATGTTCCCCAGCCCTTGTGAAGCTTTTTATGTAAAGTTTTGTGTCTATACTTTCGCGTCACAGTGCAGCATGTACTGTTGCCCTTTTTCTCAGCCTTTGTTTGCTCATGTGGATTCGAGTCAAAGTGGGGCCTTGGGCAAGCACTGTGGTACTTGGTCCTGAATCCAGCTCATTTCAGTAAAGCCTGGTTCTTGCTTCAGGGCCCCAGTACTGCATATAGATAAGAGGGGGGGGTTCCAACTTTTGAAAGGTCAGGAGGACTTTATGTGTGATGGGCAGTTAAGAGAACTGGGACATTATACCAGGAGAAGAGACTTACGGGAACATAACATCTGTCTTCCAGGATTTGGAAGTCTGTCACATGAGAGAGCGGATTACTTGATGGGACTTCAGAGAACAGCTAGTACTGACAGAATGATAGTTTTTTCCTTAAAATGTTAAAGATTTCAGAGAGAACTGCCCTCTAATATGGTCACTGTCTTACTGCAAAAAGTTGTATAATTAAGTCTTGGAAATATTGTAGTAAAATGAATTTCTGCATGGGGAAGGATGTTAAATTAGGTAACCTAGAATGACACCCGGCTCTGAGACTCTGATTCGTGTTTGTTTTGGTTTTTGGTTCGTGAGATTTATGATTCGTAGTTTTTGACTCAGAGCTATTTGTTTTATTTTTATAGTTTTACTTCCAGCAATATAATTGTTTTTCTTATAATTTAGGATTAACATACTCTATTTGTGGGGGGAAAGAAACTTTTAAGAGCCCGAAACAAGGAAGTAAAGCATGACTAGTGCCTGGTGTAATTACCTCTACAAGAAATATTATGCTATTTCCTGGAATATGTCCCCAGAGTGAATGTCTGCATTTGTTCCATTTCATTCCTAGCTGTGGAATCCTGTCAGGGGTGATGAGGAGAATCATTTTGAAATATATTGAAGCAGAGAATGGAGTTTGCAAAGTATTATTAGGTTTGCTAAGATGAACCTATGCAAATACAAACTGTTGGCATCCACTATAAAAACCAATGCCCGTATGGGACACGGCTCCTGTAATGACTTATTAAAGGTCACCAGAGTGATAGTGGATGATAAAATTTACCTTGAGGATGCCTTTCAGGTCTTATTTCCAGAACTGGCATAGTCTCTGTCCCCGTGTGGGATAGTTATTCATGAAGGGCTGGGATAGTCGAGAAAGGAAAATAAAAATTATTTCAGAATTGATGCAAAAACAGCAACTTCTCCGATGAGAATAAAACATGCAGCGAAGATTAAATGTATCAGTGCTTCAGAATTAATGTAACATTTTTGCTTTGATCTTATGTCTGGTAAGGTTTACTAAAGGGAAGTTCTCCGTTTTCATAATTATTTGCTGAGGTCTGAAAATTAACTTACATGATTTTCCAAAAAGGATAGCTCCGTCATGAATCCATACTATTTCAGATCTTCCCTGTGAATGATCTGAAGGCCTGGGTGCTCTTGCCATTGTTCATTTTTTAAAAAACTTGCGTGATCTGCCTCCCTTCCCCCTTCTCCACTTTCTTCTCAGACTTACCAATTATAATTCTCACAGAAAGATTTGAAATGTATTGAAAGTACTAAGGGGACAAATGAGGTAAAAGAGGATCTGCTATTTAACTGAACATCTTATCTGTTTCAAAAATGAGTTATATGGATGTTAACATTTCTGATTAATTTGCCATTTGATAAACTGGTGATTTTTTTAAAAAAAGTATCAATTTCCTACTCTTGTGCTTGATTTGTGGGCTCAGAAAACCCAATACTCTTTTCCCTCTAAGTTGCTAGTACAAATCAGTTAAAATGAACAGTGGCTAAGAACTTCTGTGCTGCCCTTGGCCTAATAATCTTCATCGTCAGCCTCATGATGAATCCTCAGAGGTAGAGAGGGGAACTTACTGATCTTTGTAAATTCTTTTTTTTGGTTACATAAATTAACCCATTTATTATAGGCTAGCAGTGTTTCACATGGTAGAGCGTCTGCTGCTGGTCTTTCAGTTCCTTCAGACTAATGATGGCTGATGATGCTACTTTGGCGGCGTTGGTTGTATAGGTCGAGGCACATCAACTACCAGGTTCATGCAAGAACCACAGTGCCAGATCTCCACCTCTCATCTTTTCATCTTGATTTTGCCGCAGAAAGAGCAAGTGTACTGAGCATGCTGGCTTATTTCAATTTTCTTTACCATTTTCTTGAGGGAGGCAACAATAAGAGGTCCCATATTTACTGATCATTCCAACCTTCTTGGTGTATTTAACCATGTCCCCCACAAACTAAGTCTGACCCCAGAGGGTGATCTTTGTATCTTTAGGGTCCTGCATGGGGCTTGGCACTTGGGAGCCCTGCAGGGAATGTTTATGAATGAAAATCCAGGTATTGAAAATAAATTTTACAATAAGCTGCATTTTCCCCTTTCAGAAAATTGCTTTAGATTGAAGTTTTGAGGTACCTAGGAGCTGAATTAGGAAGATGGCAAGAGTTTTCTTTAAGGTCCTGTGTGTGAAATTTGGGGAGTTTAAAAACATAACCAAATTGCTGCCAGATGTGTTTTGGTATTCAGAATTTTTCAGATTTTAGGAAAATGATACAGTATATGCATCTTACACTGTGCAGTTAATTCCCCCAGAGCATAATGCAAATGCATGAAGATTCTGATGGCAAAAGCATATGAATAGTCCCATTATGTGTGATGAATTAAGACGTTAAGCAATTTCACATTAGTTCTGGTCAGAATTTGCAGGCGAGTAAGTTCAGATCAAGTCTGCCATCCAGTGAGTCTTTAAAAAAACAAAAAAGCAACCACCACCACTTAGTTTTAAGCACTTTTGCGATCCTCAGGTTATCTGTCAGCATCTGAGGCCTGTAACGTCTTTTTCATTAACCAAAACCTTCTGTAGTTATTTAATGAGTCATCTTCTCATTTCTAATTTCAACTGATAGGTAAAAAATGTTGCTGTTTTTCTCATTTCCCCAAGAAAAAAGAAAAGGCAAACATCTGAACAGCCTGGGAATCATTTGGTCAGTATTGCCATCAGTATACTGTCTCCTCTAGACCTCACAGAATCCTCTGAGACAACTATTCTTACCATCCTTTTTAGTTTACAAAGACAACGGAGGAGTGAGGGGTGAAATGTCTCATTCTAGACCACAAAGTAAGCATGTAGCAAAACTAAGACTCAAACTCCAGTCTTCCAACTCTGGAGTCCATCTTCCTTCTCCCAAATCGTGTTTTCACAGAAAAAGTTTCTGATGAAGCTGGAAAATGAGAATTCGAGTGTATTTTTGTCTAGAGTTTAATGAATATATCATAATGCCTAAAGCCTTGTATTAATTTGAGTCATTTACATTAGTTTGGCCTGATCATTGTCAAGTTTGTCTTGATTATTTTTTAAGAGGGATAGACTTTCAAAGTTTAAGCTAATTTCAAGTATAGAATAATAAGGCTATTTTTTGCTATTCTCCCACTTTTGTTTGAACCGTTTAGATGTGTCTGGCATCGGAGGGGGTTAAAATGGAGGACTCAAAGCTAATAAAGGCAAAAGAATCAGATGGTGGAAGAATTAAAGAATTGGAGAAGGGAAAGGAACAAAGAGAAATAAAAATGGAGAAAACAGATGAAGCCAGGCTACAGAAAGAAGCAGAATTTGAAAAATCAGCTAAGGAAAATGTCAGAGATTCTAAGGAGCTAAGAAATTTTGAGGAGCTGCGAATGGATGATATAATGGATATAAAAATGGAAGATCCCAAAGAAATTAAAAAGGAAGAACTAGAGGAAGATCAACAATGTAGTCACTTCCCTGATTTTTCTTATTCTGCCAGTAGCAAAATCATAATAAGCGATGTTCCCAGTAGAAAGGATCACATGTGCCATCCTCATGGAATTATGATCATTGAAGATCCCACAGCATTAAACAAACCAGAGAAGCTAAAAAAGAAAAAGAAGAAAAGCAAAACGGATCGACATGGAAATGATAAATCCACACCCAAGAAGACTTGCAAAAAGAGGCAGTCTTCAGAGTCAGACATCGAGAGTGTCATCTACACCATTGAAGCTGTTGCAAAGGGAGACTGGGGCATTGAGAAACTTGGAGAAAGCCCTCGCAAGAAGGTCCGCACATCCTCAAGTGGCAAGGGAAGCATTTTGGATGCCAAGCCACCAAAGAAAAAAGTGAAATCAAGAGAGAAGAAAATGTCAAAGGAGAAATCCTCAGACACCACCAAAGAGTCAAGACCTCCAGATTTCATTAGTATTTCTGCCAGCAAGAACATTTCTGGTGAGGTGCCAGAGGGTATAAAAGCAGAACCGTTGACCCCCACGGAGGAGGCATTACCACCCAGCCTGTCGGGACAGGCCAAGCCTGAGGAAAGTGACTGTCACAGAAAAATAGAGACTTGTGGCTCCCGGAAATCTGAGAGGTCTTGCAAAGGTGCTCTTTATAAAACCCTGGTGTCTGAAGGCATGCTCACCTCTCTGCGAGCTAATGTTGACAGAGGTAAGTGACTTCTGCAAAAATGAAAACACTATGGAAACCTAGCAATTTTCTCCTTTAAACTCATTGAGAATAACCACCATAAAGAACAGTATAGTATCAAAACAGTATTTTACATTTGTACAGTTCTTTATGGCTTATAGATCATATACATCTCTCATTTTACCTACACCATTGAGGAGACTTTGTATTCTTTGTATGGGTAGTTCTCAGGATATGTGTTCAAAATAATTCAAACCTTTTTTTTTTTTTTAACTGATATGGGCTGGCTTCTTGTTTTGAAGGATCAGCACTGTGTGGTTGGAGCTCTTAGTCTATTTTTAAAACTGATGGAAAGAATTCCCTGAATCAAGCAAATATATTTGGCAGAATGTTGACCTATAGGCTCCAAAAGCAAGTAACTTATCTAGCCCTCTCCATTAGGTACTCAAAACTATAATTGAAGTGAAGGGCTCTTTAAAACACTAAACCAGTTCATGTGTATACCTTTATTTCACAGAGTGTTTTTTATAAATTCATCTGTTTTAAAATATAGCATCTGGCTATGGGAACTACCTCTTGCCAAGCTTAATTCCAACTCAGAGATGTGTGACTAATGGGTCTAATAAGGCCTGAATGAAGATCTTTGAGAGTACATAGTTCTCCAGGGATATCATTCCAATAAAGTCCTGGGGAAATTAAAATTAATAATGCCCACCAGCAAAGGGCTTCTACACCTTAGTCTGATTCTCTAATGGAAAAGCTGGTAGGAGTTAGTCTGTCTCTGGAGTCACACAGTACACACACCACCTGTTGCGTTATGACAAGACAACTGATCTCAGAGGCTATACACTGTTTTGCATGTTGTATTATTGAAGGTGGTCCATCGTGAACCACTTAGAGGACTCTGAAATTGAAACGGTTATAAGTAGCATCATGCAAATGATACCTGGGGGGTCAACAAATCACTTGCGAGGCAACCTCATCCCAGTATACCAACTGCATTCTTTCTCTTAAATTTCCTTAGGGAAACGAAGCTCAGGAAAAGGAAACTCCTCTGACCATGAAGGGTGTTGGAATGAAGAAAGCTGGACGTTTAACCAGAGTGGGACCAGTGGGAGCAAGAAGTTCAAGAAGACAAAGCCAAAGGAAGATTCTCTCCTTGGGTAAGTGCCTGTGAACACATCAGCACGCTGCATAGACCCCAAGTGTAAACAGAAATCACTAACCGCTTCTTCTTGAGTATTCATTCAGCACTTACTACAGTCTTCGTGAGCACAATAAGAGAATAGAAATCTAGTGTGTCACATGTTCCTGCTGGCAACGTGGTTGTGTGAGTGACACTGTCATTCACATTTTAGGTCTAGTATAATGTATGTAGATTTTGGATGTAGGCCTGAGTGTGAATTGAGGCCCACCATGTATTAGTGGTGTGACATTATAAATCCTTTAATATTGCCAGGACACATTTTCCCATCTAAGGTTTACAATGGATATTCTATAAACATATTTACATTTTGCCTGTTTACTTACTGTACATATTTTATTTAATATTTCTAAAGGTTACGTACATATGTTTATAAAAAAAGACGACAGCTCAAAAAATGTAAGGTAAATAAAATTACGTTTCTACCTCTAACCTTTTTGGTTTAAACCATGTTCTATTGCTGTAAGATAAAAATGTTAGATTGACTATTCTTCTGCTACGGAGAATATTCAGTAATTATTTACGTGTTGAAAAGCAGTATCAAGCAATAACATACATCAAGATAAAATCATTAAGGATTACTTCATTTTTAATGTTATTCCAAAGATTCTTAATACTAATCTTAATATAGGGGCGCCTGGGTGGCTCAGTTGGTTAAGCGACTGCCTTCGGCTCGGGTCATGATCCTGGAGTCCCGGGATCGAGTCCC